GAATTATCACTTAATTCTGTGTGTCACACAGTCAGTAGAATTGCATTTATACTGCTTTAGTCTCTCTTTGATTACTTTCCTGAACTGAATGTTTAGGTTTAGTATTGGGTTCCTGAATCCATCTATTATTGGTACCAATATACTTGTTATATTCAGCATTGCATTTCTGATGTTTAGCCTTATGGTACAATTTTTTGAACAGATCCCCTACATGGTGGTGTAACCTGTGTGTCAGTGCTGACTATGTACTAGACCTAGTGTCATTACATTTACAGCACTTTATATTTATGACCTGTCATGATGTCTGTTTTTAACCTATTGGTTTTAGGCCATACTTTGTTGTATTGTCTCATCTTGTGGTGATGGCTAACTGAGGTATTTACCGTAATGTCTACATATGCAATTTTTGTAATAAAGCATCATTTTTGAGGAATGTTTCAGTATTGCTTTCTGTTCATAATGTAACCGCTTTTTTGTGAATCTCTTTTCACATCCCCCTCTTTTTGATGTTTGGTTTTGGTTACATGGCAAATAATATACATTCAGTGATATGTTGAATTTATGGTGCCTCTTGCCCCTTCTTTTTTGTTAGTGTATGCCTTAGTTTACCTGATTGAAAATCAATACCTGTGCATTTATGTATGTTATTTTAAATATATATATATTTACACACACACATATTGCTCAAAAAATTAAAGGTAAACTTTTAATCAGAGTATAGCATCAAGTCAATGAAACTCCTGTGATACTGATCAGTTAAGTAGCAGAGGGGGTTGTTAATCGGTTTCAGCTGTTTTGGTGTTAATGAAAATAACAACAGGTGCACTAGATGGGCAACAATGAGACGACCCCCAAACAGGAATGGTTTTACAGGTGGAGGCCCCTGACATTTTTTTCCCTACTCATCTTTTCTGACTGTTTTTCACTAGTTTTGCATTTGGCTAGGGTCAGTGTCACTATTGGTAGCATGTGATGATCCCTGGACCCTATAGAGGTTGTACAGGCAGTCCAACTCCTCCAGGATGGCACATCAATACGTGCCATTGCCAGAAGGTTTGTTGTGTCTTCAAGCACAGTCTCAAGAGCATAGGGGAGATTCCAGGAGACAGGCAGTAACTCTAGGAGAGCTGGACAGGGCTGTAGAAGGTCCTTAACCCATCAGCACTGCCCGGCACCATAGAGCTCAATTGGCATTTCCCATTGAACACCAGAATTGGCAGGTCCGCCACTGGCACCCTGTGCTTATCACAGATGAGAACAGGATCATTCTGAGCATATGTGACAGACATGAAAGGGACTGGATAAGCCATGGAGAAATTTATGCTGCCTGTAACATCGTTGAGCATGACTGTTTTGGAGGTGGTCTCAGTGATGGTCTGGGGAGGCATATCCCCAGGTATATCCATGGAGGGACGCATGGACCTCTACAGGCTAGAAAATAGCACTCTGACTCCCATTAGGTATCGGGATGAAATCCTTGGACCCATTGTCAGACCCTACGCTGGATCCTGGGTTCCTCCTGGTACATGACAATGCCCGGTCCTCATGTGGCGAGAGCATACAGGCAGTTCCTGGAGGATGAAAGAATTGATACCATTGAATGGCCCCCATGCTCGCCTGACCTAAATCCAATAGAACACCTCTGGGATATGTTTCGGTCCATCCGATGTCGCCAGGTTGCACCTCAGATTGTCCAGGAACTCAATGATGCCCTAGTCCAGATCTGGGAGGAAATACCCCAGGACACCATCTATCATCTCATTAGAAGCATGTCCCGACATTGTCAGGCATGCATACAAGCACGTAAGAGCCATACAAGCTCCATTTTGAGTTGCTGGAATGAAATTTCAGCAAAATGGACTAGCCTGCTGCATCATTTTTCACTTTGATTTTCAGGGTGTCTTTGATTTCAGTCCTCTGTAGGTTGATAATTTTAATTTCCATCAAACGATGGGGCATTCTTACTCTTCTAACACATTACCTAGTCCATAGCAATATAGATATCCAGCATTATATTTTTCTCCATTGAGATCTGATGTGTTTTCAAAATGCTTCTTTAATTTTTTTGAGCAGCACATATATATATATATATATATATATATATATATATATATATATATATATATGTGTGTGTGTGTGTTTTTTTCTAACTACAGATAAGTAATGGATACTTTTCACATACATATGAGCATTATGTTCTGGAAAAGTGGTATTGACCGCAAAATGCATCATAAACTAATGCTTAATCTTTGTGTACAGTGTATCCAATAGATGATGTGTTTATTACGAGCTCTGCATTTTTAAGACATTTGTAATAAAATATCATGTGTGGGTTTTAATATTTGAGAGTTTTTTTGGTTGCTATATGAATATACTGATAGGCCACTTAAAAAAAAAATAAAAAACATTTTTCTCTAGTTTTGCTTGTATTTTCATAATAAGTTGGAGCCCTTGCCACCTGGATATAATCTAATGATAACCCACCGCTGCTTTGTCAGCCTCACCTTTACACTACTAACATGTTTTCTCAGCAAAGCATGCCCTCCTGCCTGCATGCCTAAGCTAAGAACAGATGGATTCCAGGAAGTAAATGGTACATGAATCATCTGCCGTTACTTAAGATGGCAAAGCCAGAAATGATAGGGGATGTTTTCCAAAGTGAAAGTAAAGCATGGAGACATGGGTGGGGGAGTTTGCTTTGAATATAAAAAATTATTTAAATAGTGTTTTTGATTTGTAATGCTCAGATGCAGTGTAGTACCTACCCCAGTATGTCTGATCACCCTCTCCGCCTTTAAGAAATGTTTAAAAACCCATTTATTCAGGGAAGCCTTCCCCACCTCCACCTAAGAACTGTACTTGAATCACCTACATCAGATCATCCCCTGCAGCTATCACCTTTTGTATCACCTCCCCTTCCTTTAGATTGTAAGCTTCATGAACAGGGTCCTCCTATTCCTTCTGTATTGAACTTTATTGTAATTGTACTGTCCCCCTATATATTGTAAAGTGCTGTATAAACTATTAGCGCTATATAAATCCTGTATAATAATAATGATAATAGTACCACTGTAAATGTCTTTTAAGACTTTTAACATGCCAACTTGCAGTGAGAATGCTTGTTCTGAAAGGAAACAACTAGAAGATTTAGATGAATGCACAGGAACAGAAATAAATGCCACTTTTTTAAAGCATTTCATTTTTTATGTCTCTAAATTCAACTCAATATCAGTCAAAGTGTCCATGCACATTGTGGCATTTAGATTTGTATTTTCGAGCAGTATTCAAAAGCATAAAAAATACCCCAAACCTGCATTCGGAGTGGAGCTTACTGGCATTATTTATGCACATACATGCATAAACACGCTTAAATTAATTTCAGTGGCTAGAATAAATGAATATTCTGGTCAGTAGAATGAGTTTACGCTCATTTGCTTTTAAACATCATACATCTGTGAATGAATGTAATTACATATTGGAAAGTTTCAAAATTGGTGCTATGTATGCATTATTAATCTAAATTCAGTGTTTTCTTTCTAATATTTATGCCACCATGGAAGGTGCAAATGGTTAAAAATAACACAGGTCAGAGATTTTATTACACCCCAGAATCTTCCTACATCCAAAATAGAATACCTTTGATGGTTTATTAATAAGACTTAGATGAGATAAGATTACAGTTTTGGAATCTTTCTCGGAAAAATTTTGGGTTTACAAATTTTGGTTTAGGTCCTTTAAATTTTGATTGTAAATGTACAAAAATAATTTCTTTCTCTTATAATTCTATAATTTCTAGGTAATGAAAGAGTCTAACTACAGTTGACATTTCTTGGGTATACTTGTCTTTGTGCACTTGCTTACTTCTATATTTAGTCTAATTCTTCTATCAACAATAGAGACGCAAGAGAAGGACACAGAATAATTATTAGAAATGTATGGCGTCTACTAGATAGCCCTTTAGAGTTTGTCTGTCTCTCTGATGCTGCTGTCTTCATTTGGACCATGTTGAGTACACTGTAATTGTAGACGCATAATCAGGAAAATTGCCTGCAATAATCTAATGAACTTCCTTGCATTTACAGCAGAAAGAGAAAAAAGAGAATGGCATTTAATGATTTTATATGTGGACGCTAAAAATAAAGACAGTGATATTTGATCATACATATAAATAATGGCAAAGCACTGTAATTTTTTTTCTAAATTATTATTATTTGGTCTTTTTCTGTCCACATTAACATAAAGTGGTTCTAAAAGCTGAATGTTGTTTACCTTCATGCATTTTATGCATGAAGATAAAAAACCGTCAGTGTGCAGATCCCCCTCAGCCCCCCAACACTTACCTGAGCCCGATCTCGGTCCATCGATGTGTTCTCCCAGGTCTCTCCCTCCTCATTGTCTGGGACACAGCAAAAAGGGTCATTGGCTTTTGCTGCTGTCAATCATAGCCAGTGAGGAGGGAGCGGGTGGCGAGGCCGAACCATGTGTATCTAATAGACACACAGAGGCTGCTCAGCAGCAAGGCACTCAGCAGGAGTGATCCAATATACGTCTCAGAAAATATTTCATTTACAATGCTTGTATTCTCAGAAGTCTGAGCTCGCATGTTTTTCTTCAGCTAAACCGGTTAATAATCGTTATTGTTGGGCTTGATTGAGTCGAATGTAAGTTTCAACTCGAACATCGGTGTTTGGCGAACACCCGAACGGTAAGGCCATTCGGCAGGCTGTTTGCCCACTTACAGTGCATTGTGATCGGCCAAAGCAATGCACCTTACCTGTGGTATCTTGTTTGGGTCGCCGGTGACAGCGGGAATTGTGATTGACTGGATCTACCTCGGAGTACATTTTTTAATTTTGTTTTTAACCTCCTCCCGCCCTCCATATAAGGTAATGAGGGGCGCAAGGCGGTTCTCTCGTTCTGGGAGGACTCATGTGACGTTCTCCCACTCTAACCGCGCATGCGCGGCTCCAGGAGAGCGCAGCGAGGCGATCGGTGGTGCGCTGTGTCCCTCAGACACAGCAGATCACCGATCAACGGAAAGAGCCGAAGATGTCAGCTCAGTCATGTGATCAGCTGTGTCCAATCACAGCTGATCACATGTAAATAGGGAAATGCCAGTTATCAGCATTTCTCTCAAGAGCCGTTACGCTGACAGCTCAAGAGGAAAGCAGAGCCGGTAATCGGCATTCCTTAGAGGGACATGTACACTGATCATCAGGGCACTGATGATCAGTGTGCCCTGATGATCAGTGTAGCCCCAGCAGTGCCACCTGTCAGTGCCCATCAATGCCAGCTGTCAGTGTTCATCAATGCCACCTCCCAGTGCCCATCAATGCCTCATCAATGCCACATATCAGTGCCTACCAGTGCACATCAATGCCACATATCAGTGCCCATCTGAGTTGCCTTTCAGTGTCACATATCAGTGCCAGTCAGTGCCACCTATCAATGCCAGTCAGTGCCACCTATCAGTGTCAGTCAGTGCCGCCTATCAGTGCCGCCTATCAGTGCCCGTCAGTGCTGCCTGTCAGTGCCGCCTAACAGTGCCAGTCAGTGCCACCTAACAGTGCCAGTCAGTGCCGCCTATCAATGCCAGTCAGTGTCGCCTATCAGTGCCACCTATCAGTGCCATATATGAGTGCTGCCTTTCACTGCCCATCAGTGATGCCTGTCAATGCCCATCAGTGCCACCTACTAGTGCCTCCTTATCAGTGCCCATCAGTGCCACCTATCAGTGCCCATCAGTGCAGCTTATCAGTACCCATCACTGCAGCCTCATTAGTGCACATCAGTGAAGGAGAAAAATCACTTGTTTACAAAATTTTATAACAAAAACTAAGAAAAAACATTTTTTTTTTTCAAAATTTTCCGTTGTTTTTGGTTTGTTTAGCAAAAAATAAAAAACCCAGAGGTGATAAAATACCACCAAAAGAAAGCTCTATCTATCTAAAAAAAACGATTAAAATTTCATATGGGTACAGTGTTGCATGGCCGCACAATTGTCATTCAAAGTGCGACAGCACTGAAAGCTGAAAACTGGCCTGGGCAGGAGGGGGGTATAAGTGCAATGTAGGCAAGTGCTTAATAGAGAACTTTTAAAAGACTGTCTTCTGTCATTTTGCATACTACACTCATTGTGAATGAGTAGCAAAACCATGTACCTCACACTCATTCACATGGGGAGGGAGGGATCTGGGGGCCCCCTTGTTGAAGGGGTCTTCCAGATTCCGATAAGCCCCCACCAGCAGACCCCCACAAGCACCGGCCACAGTTGGGGGGAAGAAGTCCTTTTCCCATCAACGTGGGGAAAAGGTGCTTTGAAGGGGGTGCCCCCCTGCCCCAAAGAACCCCCCCATATTGAGGGCATGTCTGGTATGGTTCAGGAGGGGGACACTCACTCGTCCCCGCTTTCCTGACCTTCCGGGCTGCATGTTCAGATAACGGTCTGGTATAGCCTTTGGGGGGACCCCCACGCCATTTAAAAAAAATTTTGGTGGGGGTTCCACCCAAAATCCATACCAGACCTGAAGGGCTTGGTATGGATAGGAGGGGACCCCACGCTGTTTTTTGCTATTTTTTTTAGTTGTCAGCAATGCTGACAGCTAAACCATTAAAGAATGTATTCCCTACTAATATATCGCATGACTTGTGATAATATAACTCGTGGTATTTTAGTAGCTGTACGGTATCTTACTGCATACTCAGATGCTGTAAGATAGCGCTTCGTCAATTGCTGGTTCGAAGTTCGCGGTCAAACTTTCAATAGGTTTGAAATTTTGACCGTGAACCAAACAGGGGGGTGTTTGTCCCATCACTATTAATCATATATATATATACTGTATATATATCAACTCAGTTCCAGTGTATTAATATTCTTCCTTATCCCCCAAAGTTGGGAGGTGGCCAAAATGACCAAATTTGACAGGTGCAGCCTTCAAAGACTTTGGTCGCAACCTATATATATTCCTGCAATGTATGCAGGTAAGTATGCTTCGAGGGCAGCAGCGAGACCCTAACTTTCAAGGGAGACCCGGCAAGAAGAGTGAGACAGCAATCTGAGAAGAGATAGTATAAATTATATAGACATTACACTTGTTTTGTTCAAGTAACTAGTTCTGAAGCATCTTTCATACTGCACAGTGACTATTATTCTGCTAAGAGAGACAAAGCTACCGCTGCAGGTCACAACCACATAGGACGGCTGACCATAAGTAGGAGTGATGGCTCATATAACAGCTGAAGGGATGGGAAGGAGACCTGGACAGCCGCACATCCTGAGAAACCACCTTTACTGTCTAATTCCATAAAACAGGCAATAGGTACAGCGAAGAGGAGCTGGACAAGGGGCTAGCACATTTCATGCTTCGCCAGTTCCTAATCATACTGTAGCCTGCCAAAGTGTTCCCCCATCACATATATACATGAAGGGAAACACCCCCACACAGGTGTGAACGGACAGGCACAATTAGCAACAGAACTCCAACTTTACACAGAAACATAAGCAACAAAAACTGTTGCCAAAAAATGGTTACATGTAACCCATTGAGATTACTTACAATTCATTAAAATGGACATTAGATGGCAGTGGCCTGCCATTCAGAATCACTTTCATGGACAGAACAACCCTCTGGAACTTGTATACCGTATAGCAGGACTCAGCTGGTGAGCAGGGCAGTCAGAGACTCCATTTCCCAAGAGAGGTAGCATGTGGACAGGAGCATATAAATATCAAAGCCCAGGAGATTGGCCAGGAGAGTGAGGAGAGAAACTGAAGGAGAAGGAAGTGTGCTAATGGTTGAAGTGCTGAACTAGGCCATGGAGCCAGGTTGGAGAAAGAGGAAGAGCAGAAAGAGCCTACTGACCACCGGGTCCACTACGCTGCCCAGCAGGCTAATCTGACAGCAGGAGACCAGATGGGTCTTTGCAGAGAAAGACAGACTTCTATGATCTGCTGGACTACTTTGATCGGGTGAGAGAGACTCATGAACCCACTAAGCAAGTGAATACTGACAGTTTGCCACCCCAGCTATCTACCTACATATAGTTGTGAACATTACATATAGTTGCATGAGTTTGCAGCCTAGTTCTTACAGCTGCTATCGTTGAGATACATTACAGTTTATTGTACAAGCTGGTCGCAGGACATACAGTTGCAGGCCAGGATACAGCAGTGCCAACTGAAACAACAAGTTTCCCGTCTTCAACAAAGCAGGATTCACATTACTGTTTGTTTTTGCCTCTGATGTACATAAAGAACTGTCTTTGCCTATAGACATTTATGCCAATGGTTGCTTTTCATTACTTCAAGCCTGCCCCATGTTTAGTGTTTTAAAGGGGACAATGCCCTAATTCACTACCAACAAGAGGCAAAGTGTTAAATCTCCCTTGCTTCTTCACTATATTTTGTGTTACCATCCCAAGGAACTATATTCCACACTTTATACCAACTGGGTCCCAATGAGTGCACAGAAGACATTGCAGTGTTCTTAAAGGGACAGTACTCAATTTCAAATGTCTTCACATCTAAGCCTTATCATCTAGTTCTGATTATCCACAGTGAGCTTACCTGTTACTGGACAGTTGTTTTCTGCTCACTGGGGATTCAGTAGTCCCCTGAGATTGGAGGCAGTTGATTATTTCTGAAAGCAGGCCTGCTAACAGTTATTGTTGCTTTACTGTGAATGACGTTACTTTTGCTCTCAAATTCTGACAGTGATTATATTTGCTACATATATCAGTGTCATTTTGTTCTGTTTGACCAAGTTATCTTTAATTCCAATATAAACTTCATATTGGTTTTATCCTAACTTGTGTGTGAGTCCATTTAAGAGTTGTGATTTATTTTGGTCACAAAAGCACGGTGGTGTCAGCAGAGGTTGGGCTTTCAAAAAAAAGTTCAGATTGACAGGGAACCCCAAAATTACTAAGCAATCCTTAGGGGAGTAGTGCTACATAAACATGTCAAAACTTAAATGAATTGTGAATATAGCGAGCGCTCAGAAAAACCAGCCGCTGGAACACTTCAAGGGATCACTAGACCTCATAACAGAGACATTATACATATATATAGTGCAGCGCTAAAATATAATAAAATTAATATAAATTCATAGAGTCTTTCTTGTGACAATAAAACCAAATATGTGCAGGTCTTCTCCTCATTAGGTGACTAGAAAATAGCAAAAATGCGCACTCACCGACCGCACATTTTAAATGCGCCTGTGTATAATATAATCCAAAAGACCAGCCAGGTATGCAGCTCCAGAGACCACACGGATCCTCCCTCTCCACCACTAACATTCGCCTTGGTAGCTATATCTCCAGATCCAGAGGCCCTCTCGCCTCAGGTAGATAGACAGGGATCCCCCTTCTGGTTCCAGACACCCCAAGAATGGAAGATGTATATCTGCACCCTCCAACAGGAGAGTCAAGAAAAAAGGGGGAACGCCAATAGTGTGGTAGTTTCAAAAACTTTATTGGAGCAATAATGCCTGGGTCATGTGCACATACACATCCATAACTTAGCCAATAACGGACAGGTAGGTATGAAAAAAGAAATTGTACTAACCCGGCAATGGTATAAAACAAAGACCACTGGACCTCCTCTTGGTCTCAGTGGTCAGGAAGTCACACTTGCTAATTGGCTCCTCCTGAGGCCTTTCGTGCAAAAAGCACTTCTTCAGAGGATGGACGCCACTAGCAGTGTGACAGCCAGACTTCCATTTAAACGCGGTTTTGCGCATGCGCGAAAATCCCGCTCTATCGATCAAAAGCGGAACTGCGCATGCGCGAATAGCCGCCAATTTGCCGTGGATCGCGGCTGTGCAGTATCAAACTGCGCATGCGCCCCCGATCGCCGCCATATTGCCATGGATCATAAGCAGCAGGAAATAAACAGCTGCTGCTGAAGATCTACAAAATAGAGAAAAGAATAAGAAAACAGATACACACGATGCCTATATTTAATTTTGGGGCGTTTAGAAGTTTTTTGATATGTATATGGTATTGTGTTTTATATAATTCTTTATTATTGTGAAATAGTTTTAAGGTTCAGTTTTACTATTCCATCTATGAATGATGAAATATAGCCCCTATGCCATGGAGATAGTAATTAAGAAGAGGGCTTTTGCGGCACCTATTTGTGCACTCCCCTATATATATCTTTGATAAATGGCTCTAGGTCGGGCCTTTCATCTTTTTCCCTTCTGGGGTGGGAAGGTATCTGTATCCATCTATATATGAGGAACCAGCACCTAAGTGTGTATCTGTTTTCTTATTCCTTTCTCTATTTTGTAGATCTTCAGCAGCAGCTGTTTATTTCCTGCTGCTTATGATCCATGGCAATATGGCGGCGATCGGGGGCGCATGCGCAGTTTGATACTGCACAGCCGCGATCCACAGCAAAATGGCGGCTATTCGCGCATGCGCAGTTCCGCTTTTGATCGATAGAGCGGGATTTTCGCGCATGCGCAAACCGCGTTTAAATGGAAGTCTGGCTGTCACACTGCTAGTGGCGTCCATCCTCTGAAGAAGTTT